GAACAATTCTCAAAGATCGTGATTCACTACTAGAATTTCTCTTATTACATGCAACTTTTCCTGCGAATTTTTTATAAAAATTTGCAGGAAACGTTGTTCCTGCAAATTTTTCTGCGAAATTTTATTTGCAGGTAATACCTTCGTGGATAATATATTTTTGCGAATTTTAAAATTCGCAGGAAATTTTCCTGCGAAATTTCCTGCGAAAAAAATTCGCAGGAAAGTTTCCTGCAAAAAAAAATTTGCAAGAAATTTTCCTGTAAAAAAAAAATCGCAGGAAACTTTCTTGCGAATTTTTTCGCAAGAAATTCTGCAGGAATATTTTTTACGAAAAAATTAAAAAAAATTATTATAAATTCTATATTTTAAGAATTCATAATCTTTTATTTTAATGCCTCATACATAATCTTTTAAATTCTAAGATTGTAGATTACAAGTCTAACACTCAACCATACAATTCAACTTGTAAGGTAAGTGTTATTCCAACTTATATACTCTTTAATTGTTTTATTTTCAATCGATGTGGGACTTGAAGATTTATTAAAATATTAATCTTATTAATTTAAATATATTTTTTATTTTTCCTGCGAATTAAAATTTGCAAGAAAATCCGCAGGAAAAGTTACCTGCAAAATTTTTCTACCATTTAGTAAACATTACTTGCAAATTTATTTTTGCAAGAAAATCTGCAAGAAACAAAATAAAATTCTTACAATATTTTCTGCAAATTTTTACCATGAAATTTTTTTTTTCCATGATTATTAAAATTGTAGCAAAATTTGTAAGAAATATCTGTAAATTATTTTTTGTAGGAAAATTCGCAAAAAATTTCTGCGAATATTTTTTTGTAGGAAAATTCGCAAAAAATTTTCTACAAATATTTTTTTGCAGGAAAATTTGCAAAAATTTTCTGCAAATATTTTTTTGCAAGAAAATTTGCAAAAAAATAACACTTTTCTAGTAGTGATTATACATATTTCATTTTTAGGAAGTTATTCTCATCGAATAATTTTAACTTGTATAAATGAACTTTAATCATCATATTTTCATCATTATATTTCTTTTCATTATTAAGTAGTTTATTTGTCATTTCATTTCAAAAGCAAGTCTCGTGCATAACCTACTTATTTTGTACTATCGTTCATTGATATATGCAAACATGTTTGGTTTGCAATTTGTAGAAATTATCCAAAAACAAGTCTTTTGCTATGAACATGTTTGCTTTCCAATTGTAGTAGAGGTTGAGATATATAGTAACCTAACCCGATTCTTTTGGATCCACCAGTGACTAAGGATGTAAACAGGTTGCGTTGGACCAGATTTGGATAAACTCATTATCTGAGCCAATCAAAATTTAACGGGTTGGGTCAGATTTGTGTATTTTTTTAAAAAAAATCTAATCCAACCCTACCCAATAACGAATGAGTTGGGTTACATTGGGTTAATCAAGTCAACATAATTTATATTTAATTTTTTGTAAAAATTTAAATATTTTAAAATAGATGTAAATCATTTGGTACATTATTGCAAATTCAATGTTATAAACCTATAAAGTAAACAATGATACAAATTAAATTATAAAATAAATATTAATTTATTACATTATTATCAACTCAAAAAATCAACATTAATTAATACAAAATAAAACTTAAAATAAATATATTATATTGTTACAATGTTATCAACCTAAAACACAAATTTTTTTACTAAATAAGAGTAACAATAAATATTATCTTGAACAAATAATTATTCAAATATTATTATTATTATTATTATTATTAAATATTTGAATGAGTTCGAATTCACATATTACCCATACATGTTTGTATACATCCTTTAAGAGTCATCATTACCGTCAAAGACCATCTGCTGCTTACCTCAGTCATTTCTCGTCGATTCTCTACAATCAAGGAGTAGCCTCTGAAATATCTCACACTTCTTATTAGTATACTACTAACTTCTCAATGGCTAATATTTATTTATATTCTCCAAAGAATGGTTAATATTCTCCAAAGGAAAAACATGAGAAATTATTTCTTTTTCTTTGAAAGATATAATAATGCATTAAAAAGTGGAAATCACAGCCAAATACGTACTTTTATAATAATTTATTAGGAAACTCTTTATATCTTTATTAAAAATAAAATAAAAATAAAAATAAATAATAAAAATGTATTGATCAATATAATGATTGGTCCTTCAATTTTAAGTCTTAAATTTGATAAAAATATTTTTTTTTACAATAAAATAAAATAATAGTATCCCAAATATAAAGATAAGTAATTACTTAAAAACAGTATCCTGTATAGATATAAATAATAACTAAAACGTCTTTTTGGGTGTTGAGAAAGAGCGCGGTTAAGGTTGGACCATGGAGAATAGTTTTGAACCTGCAGTAGACACGCTTCAGTTAGTGCACAACCTACTATTATGAACATATGAGACAAAATATATAGGTTTTCTACCCAAATAAAAAGTATTAATTACAAAAACATCGTTAGTCATGTCTAAAATAAATTCTAAATCTAACGAGTTTTCTATTATTTATTTAATTTGGTTGTTATCTATCTCCATGATTTCCATTAATCGTTATCAATTCATTTCATAATTTATAAATTTAAATATTTATTATATAAATTTTGGTTGAGATCATGAAAATTTGATTTATCTAATTTTCTTTTTTGTTATTCTCGCTGTTTAGTGCTAGGTGTTATATTCTCTTTTCCCCTTCTAGTATTAAAAAAAAATATTGACTATACATTTTTTCTATGAACATATTTGACCATGCATAAAGGTATTTTTTTATTTTTTTATGAAAGAGTTTTTGAAATTTATAAATCATTGGGATAGTTCTATCAGAATATGTACTTCTTCCATTAAAGTTATAACACTTGGTATATATATATATATATA